AACATGTTCGACAACTTTCGGCATAAGATTCGCCCCGGATGTTGGTATTCCACAACGTGTAGAACGAGAAAACAAACGAGCAGCAGGACTAGAGCCAATCTTATTCGGGATGTTCCTCCAATGCAAAAGTGCATACCAGAAGTCCGTTCCGGTTTCCTCCGATTTCTTCAGTAAGCGCTTTGCAATCTTCACGGCTGCCTCCGATTTCCCGTTAGCCTGCTGATGATGAGGAGCCGAAGTGATGTGTTTGATGTCCCATTCCGTTGCAAACTTCCTCATTTTCTGGTTGAGGAAGTTCGTTCCATTGTCGGTCAACAAGGTTTGTGGTTTTCCATGTCGAGCGAAATTTCTACTGCAAGCTGCTATAACCGATTCCGGTGTCAGATCCTTTAGGATATCCACCTCAAAGAAATCTGAATAGTGGTCGACGGTGACCAGGAACTTCTGATTGCGACCACGGAACTCACTGAAGAAAACATCCATCGAGATCAACTGGAACGGATACAGGGGAATTTGATGACTCATCATGGGTGGATTCGGCTGCGACGAAGCAAATTTTGCGCAAACCGGACAACCTTTCACGACATCCTTGATTTGACTGCTCATGCCTGGCCAAAACAGGTTTGCTCTAGCCAACTTGAGAGTCGCTTCACTCCCATTGTGACTAACGTGACACTTTTCGATCATCTCTCTTCGCAAAGCATGTGGAACAAGAATGCGATCATGTCGAAAAACGATTCCATCCTGTACTGATATCTCATCCCGATACCCGAAATACACACGGAGTCCATCTGGTACTTTATCAGCCGTTCCAGGCCAACCTTGCTGAACAAAAGTGATGATGCTCTGCATACAAGGATCCCTCACCGTTTCATCCATGATCTCGTTCAGGCAACTGTCCGATATGTTAAGAAACTTCGTAAGCTCCAACCCTTCGACATCATCAAACACTTTGTAAATGTGCATCTTGTTATATTCGTCTTTCACTGCCTTGTCATCGAACGGTGCACGGGATAGCGCATCAGCCACAACATTTTCCTTTCCTGTGACGAACTCAATTACCAAATTGTAACGTTGTAGGTTGAGCAGCATATGTTGCAATCTTCTTGGAGCAGACAACAAAGGCTTCCGGAAAATGCTGATCAAGGGCTTATGATCGGTCTTCACAATCGTTTTCGGATTTCCAACCACAAGTTGGTCGAAACGAACACACGCAAACAGAATCGCCAACAGCTCCTTCTCAATCTGCGCGTAGTTTCGTTCAGTCGCAGTCAACGTCCTTGAGGCATAGCCTATTATTCCTTCATCCTGGTAGACAGCAACTCCCAATCCAAAGCAACTTGCATCGCATTCAATGGTCAATGGTTTTCTTGGGTTATAGTACTGCAAGGTTCCAACGTCTGCAACCAAGCCCTTTACTCGGTTGAACTCTTCCACCTCAATATTCGTCCAGCGCCAGGGAACTTCATCTGAAATCAGCTTACGAAGGTTTGTCAGGTTGCTGCTAAGATTTGGAATAAATCTGCCCAAATAGTTCACCATTCCAATAAAACGGTGTATTTCCTTCCGGTTGAGAGGTGTAGGAAAATTTTGGATCGTAGCAACCTTCGACTCATCTGGTAGAAGACCTTTGCTTGACAGGACATGTCCGAAGAATTTCACAGACGTTTGGCAGAGCTTGAGCTTCGTTTTGTTCAGTTTTACGTTGTGCTCTTCCAGGCGAATTAGAAGATTCTTCAACTTGCTTCTCAGGGCGATCGGAACACGACGAGGAGGTTGGATTGAAGGTGTAACAGAATGGTCTACCTCCAACGATACTTCCCAACAAACAATTTTAGCTGCAGATTAGCTTATACAGCCAAAATTTGCCTTATGCAGCTAATTTTTGCCTGTATAAGCTAAGCTGCAGCTAAAATTGTTTGTTGGGTTGACCTTCAAATTTTCCGTAACCAGAAAAGATTCCTTTGTGGCCTTGGATAATCTTCTCCGCTTCGATCCTGTGAACATTCAACAAGTTTGGCGAATTTGCTTCATCAGACTTACCGAATGTGACCGATTTGCAGAACTTGACGAAGCCCAGAACACGTGATGCCTTTGCCGACAGTAGGGGGCAATGGTCCACGTCCACAACTTGCAGAACCAATCGGTATCGACGCTTCATCCGACGGCACGGTATCTTCACTTCCCCAAGCACTTTGATGGGATTCCCACCGAAGCTTTGGAGCTTGTACGTCGACGGCATCATCTGCGGGGTTTCCTCTCCTGTGAGTTTGACCAACCAATTATGGCCAATCAGGCTGGTATTAGCTCCGGTGTCCACTTCGCAAATCACTGACTTCCACTTGTTATCAAAGTTGAGATCCAACTCAGCCATCACGCCACCTCCTTTCGATGAATTATCGAAAATCTTGCCGATTTCGTATTCGTCCTCGCTTGCTTCCGATGAACCTTCATTGCAAGAAAGTGCTTGCTCCTCCGAATCAGTGCTTTCGTCCTTCACCTCCTTCACCTTACGAGACTTCCTGTTCTGGAATCTGTTGCTGGCCTTGCATACCTTTCCGAAATGGTTCCTTCCGTTGCACCTATGGCACCGCTTACCAAGAGCGGGACAGGAACCTTTAGAGAAGTCATGACGGTCTCCGCAGAACTTGCACCGCTGTGATTGAGGCTTGGAACGGAACTTAGCTTTCGCGACTTTGTTCACCTCTACTTCCGGATAGAAAACTGAAAGTTCCTGGGACCGCTTAGTCGTGATCTCCTCCGCTCGACACATGTCTATCGCTTTCGTCAATGTTATGTCTGCAATGCTTAACATTTTTGATCGCATACTTGGCCACTTGTTGGACGTGACCACCTTATATGCGATAAGGTCCGTCTCTAGCACTCCGAGTTTAGCCATTTTTGCCAGAGTCTTGAGACGAGAGGCATAATCGTCGATTGATTCTCGAGTCTGCTGTGTCGTAGAGAAAAAGTCGAGCCGGTCCACTATGACATTCCTCTTCGCAACAACCTTCTCTCGTATGGCGGCCAATGTGGCCTCCGGATCTGCACCTTCCGCTGCTGTCAACTCGAAGTTGAAGTACTTTTTCCTTGCCGGCTCTCCTATGACCGACAGCAAGAAGCTTACCTTCTGTGGGTTTTCTTCTGGCGGCCACCGATCCATACCAATGGCCTTAGCGTAGTCTTTCCAGCTTTTCTCAAAAAAATCCATGTTTTCCTGCATGTCGCCTTCCACTGCTAGCGGCGATGGTTGCGGAACCTGCACATTCGACGCACTTGGCCGCTGCATCGCTTGAGCCTGATTCTGCGTCGCTTGCATTCCCTCCATCATCTTCGTAAACATCTGCATTTGTTGCTCCAACAACATTTTCATTTGATTTGCATCCATTTTTATGCGAATCACTCTTCACTCCCGATCCCGACCGAAAAATACAAAATGGCCGCTGACACGACGCGACTTGAGAACGATTTTCCCCGGACCGATTTCCGATTCGCGATTTCGATAATGACGCGAATTTTCACTTGAAGCACACGGTAACTTCTGACACCATGTTCTATTTTAATAAAACACACTAGATTTAGTTTAGTAACACTCAAATAGTCTCTTTATTCACTAGCGAACTGTACTCTTCGATACGCAGTAGAGTTATGAATGAATCAACAAAAGCATGAATGAAGTGAGAGGCAAGAGAATGAACGACAACCCAGAAGGGGTGCACATACTCTGTAGGGATGTTCAAGTAATGCAACAATGTATGTATTCAATTTTTTATGCGGAGTCATCTTGAAGCCTAAATAGTTGAGTCGGGTTAAGCCCAAGACCAGCTTGTATATATAACACCATGATGGTTATAACGCGCACAATTGCATAGTTCCATTTTCAAGTCCTCACTTTCGCCCAGCCAAAAAAAAAAATTTTTTTTTGATTGTTATTGTTATCCGCACTTTCGGACCATCAATATTCGCGCATATACAATAAACTATAGATAGTTCACGACAAATCAATTTCAAGACTATGTTGAGTCGGGTTAAGCCTAAGGCCATTTTTTTTGCGCCGAGTTCAGCTCAAGGCCAAAACCGCTTAATTTGAAACAGTTGAGTCGGGTGAAGCCCAAGACCACCTGATATTTTTTGAGTCGAGTTCAGCTCAAGGCCAAAATAATGCATTCGAACATTAAAAACATAAGCCGGGTAAAGCCCAAGGCTAAGTGAGTTATACATAAATGTGTCTGCGCCGAGTTCAGCTCAAGGTCAACGCATTTATAGCCAAAGAAGTTGAGGAAATAAAAGAGGAAAATATTGTGTATTTAGTGAGTCGGGTTATGCCTGAGGCGAAGTGGAATCAAGATAAAATAAAAGAAATAATTAATGGCCACACTGCTTACTAAAAGCAAGTGTGTAGTGGAAGGCGAGTTTACAATGCTAAAATAAAGTGATCAAGCAAGACAGCAAACGTTGACGTTTGGCGAATTCGAGTTCTAGATCGATGCATAGTATGGAGTGCGCCAAAAAGAGAGGCAATACAAAAACCAACGATCAGGATTCGTTTTTTTTTTCTCACTGAACCACAGTCAGCGAGCTGGTTAGTTGAAAAGTGTGTTAGTGTTTGTAAGCTGAGTTATCCGTTCAATTGAAATATTACACTCACATATAGAGCTGGAAACCTCTAGTACAGCATAATCATAATTCTCTGGAAAGCGTTTCAGTTCACAAGATATCGTCCATTTCTGAACATCGGTATTGAAATTTGGTAAAATGAGTGGTTTGTGGCATGAAAGTGACATCTCTTCATCCGACGAGTCGGGTTCAGCCAATTTAAATTTTGAAAGTGTTGAGAACGGAAATGTTCCAGAAAAAACGGTATTACAAGATTCCACCGTGGGAAAATCTCTATGCGGTGCTAACGGAACACATCAGACGAAAGCTAAGCATGGAAAAGTGGCTGCAAAATGAATCAGTTTGAGCGAATTTCCGCCTGCAAGGAATCTGTTGCACCTGCCATGCAGCTGGACGGATTGAAAATCTTCGCTGGCAATTATTTACTAAGTGTAATCGAGGTTCAAGAAAATCTTTCTGCTGGTTCGGATGATATTTATAGCGCAACAGTATCGGCGCTAAACAGGTAAAGGTTTTTTTTTGTGTTGTGTTGTTTTATATTATGAATTTCTTGTTTTTGTTTGTCGGAGAGTAGAACAGTGTTTCTCAAGTGGTAATATACAACACCTGGAAGGGGGTTTTGCAAAACTTGTAGATCGTTTTATTTTAATTTATTTTATATTTTTTTTTATCAACGTCGAAAATTGTGAAAACTTTTTAATATTCATTATTTACTTACGACAAAGAACATGATTTTGAATAAACGATACGAGTCCCTGAATCCATAGTTGAGAATCACTGTTATTGACTGTAGTCTCCCTTATTAATCTCCCTAATATTGTAATAGGTATTTTGACCAAACGTGCGACTACACGAAGGAGAGGATGAAGTTTCGTGAAATGCGAATGGGCACCTCAGAACCATTTGTTGATTGGGTTTTGCGATTAGAGACTCAAGCAAAGTTTTGCGAATTTGAGGCAGAGCAGCGAAACGAAGAATTTGTTCAAGCATTAGTTCGACGATCTGTACTGCAAATCGCAACAAAGTTGTACGAAATGAGCAATATCTTCAACAACAATCTTGAGTTGATTACTGCCCACGGTAGACATCTTGATTACATTCGGATGGAATCTGAGGAATCAAAGCAGATAGTCATGAACGAAGGTGGTAGCAGCATTGAAGAACTAAAGACACATGAAGGGACTGTTGTGAAGCCAGTTAATGCAGTAGTTAGTCAGAACTCGCATTTCGGTCCAATGCGTCACGGTTCATATCGAGGATCACGATCGGAAGCCAACAATAGGAATTTCCGATTTCAAGGTGTGAGTTCTCTTGGTCGTGCAGGACGGTTCAAAAATACCAGCCAGAACTGCTTGAAGTGCGGCAGTATTCACGGTCCTAAGCAGTGCAGGGCCTATCGCGTCAAATGTTACACATGTGGGAAAGAGGGGCACTTTGCCGAGTTTTGCTTTTCGAAAAACAGCGCTACTAAAGGGTGATACGGTCAAAATTTGGTCAAGGCAAAACGCGTGTAAATCGGTGAAATCGTTTATTTAAAAAATCAAATTAAATTTCTTTTTCAAGTTCAATTAGTATAAAATTCAGGAAAAATATTCAGTTAGGCTTCCGCTTTTCCAAATCCGAATTGCCGGGCCTTACGCTTGACCCCTGCCATCAGATTTTGTACAGCCACCTTGTCCACCTTCTTCGCCGCAGAAAGCCAGTTTGCCTTGAACTGCTGCTCGCCCTTAGCAGTTTTTTTTGTCTTCTTTAGGTTCCGCTTGACAATAGCCCAGTATTTCTCAATTGGGCGGAGCTCTGGCGTGTTGGGAGGGTTCTTGTCTTTGGGAACCACCTGCACGTTGTTGGCGGCGTACCACTCCATGGCCTTTTTACCGTAATGGCAAGATGCCAAATCCGGCCAAAACAGTACGGAACAACCGTGTTTCTTCAGGAAAGGCAGCAGACGTTTATTCAAACACTCTTTCACGTAAATTTCTTGGTTGACAGTCCCGGAAGCTATGAAAATGCTGCTTTTCAAGCCACAGGTACAGATGGCTTGCCAAACCAGATATTTCTTTGCGAACTTTGACAGTTTCATGTGCTTGAAAACATCTGCTACCTTTGCCGTATAAAACTCCTGTCCCGGAAGCTGCTTGTAGTCGGCTTTGACGTAGGTTTCGTCGTCCGTTACCACGCAGTCAAACTTCGTCAGCATCGTCGTGTACAGCCTCCGGGATCGCGCTTTGGCCGTCGTATTTTGTTTATCATCGCGATTTGGAGTCACTACCTTCTTGTAAGTCGATAGTCCGGCTCGTTTTTTGGCTCGATGCACGGTTGTAGACGATACACCCAGCTTATTTGCGGCATCTCGGAGAGAGAGGTTAGGGTTTCGCTTGAAACTACCGGCAACTCTCTTTGTCGTCTCAGCGGCTTCCGGTTTTCGATTTCCCCCCGATCCAGACTTCCTGGCTGTCGACAAACGTTCCCCAAACACTTTAATTACATTTGTAACGGTTGATTTGGCAACTTTTAGCGATTTTGCCAACTTTGCGTGCGAGTAGCTCGGATTTTCGCGATGCGCGAGCAAAATTTTGATACGCTGCTCTTCTTGCTTGGACGGCATTTTGACAACTGAAGAGTGAATTACAAAATCAAAATAGGAGCAACATTCTACACACACACACCTTCAAAATGAGGGGTGTTCAGGTTTTTAAATGCAAAATTGAAAGAAATACGTCAAGTTGATATTGACCAAATTTTGACCGTATCACCCTTTATCATTGTTTAAGCTTTTATTTTTGTGTGTTTATATTCTTATTAATAATCGTTTCAGCTTATAACTGGGCGCAAAAACTCTTCACTAGGACATGAAGATCCTAGACTTGTCAGTTGTAAGATTGGAACAGAGAGTTTCCAATTTTTGATTGATTCAGGTGCTACTGTCAACACCATGACGAAAAATGGGTGGCAAATGATCAAGCGTAATTGCCGTTCAGTTATTCAGGATTTTGTGCTTTACCCTGAAGAAATTTTGCGAAGTTATGCAAACCAACAACCACTAGAAGTAGAATGCTCATTTAAAGCGTACATTGGGGTGAGCAATCAACCATTGCAGCTGGCAAAATTCTTCGTGGTCAAGGGAACTGAGTTATCGTTGCTCAGTTACGAAACAGCAAGTAATTTGAACTTGATTCGTATAGGGCTGCAGGTTTCACTCTTACATAACAGCAGGACCGAACCGAACACTTTGCACTCAATCTCTGATACTCGATTGGAGCCCAAAATGCTCGACATTTCTGTAGCCCGTGAAAACGAACCGCAGGAGTTTCCAAAGATTCCAAATGCCGCCGTGAAATTCAAGGTGGATGATTCGGTCATGCCCAAACAAATCATCCGGTACAACATTCCAAAGGCGTTTGAAATTGCGACGAATGAAAAGTTGAGACGAATGGAGGATAGGGGTATTATTGAAAGGGCAGATAAAGAACATGATACAATAACATGGGTTTCACCGCTTGTGTTAGTTCCGAAGGGTGTCAATGATTTTCGAATTGTTGTAGATTACCGTGAGGTAAACAAGGCGATCATTCGTGAACCATATCCAATGCCGTCGCTAGACAAGATTTGGACCGATATTCCAAATGGTACGATGTATTTTTCTAAGCTCGATTTGAAAGATGCTTATTTTCACATCGATTTACATGACGAAGTTCGCCATTTTACAACCTTTATGACAGCCAATGGATTGATGCGGTTCAGAAGACTTCCGTTCGGATTATCATGCGCTCCAGAGCTTTTCCAGAAAGTGATGGAGAAACTACTGATAAAGTGTAAAAATATCATTATCTACCTCGATGATGTTTTGGTGCATGGCAAAAACGTACCAGAGTTGAGATACCATGTTGCCGAAGTGAAAAAAGTGTTGAATGTTAATAATCTCACTATCAATGAGGAAAAGTCGATGTATGATCAGAAAACAATAGATTTTCTGGGATTCACAATTGATGGCACTGGAATTTTACCAATGCGAAAGAAAATATCGGATGTTAAGTTTTTCGAAAAGCCGAAGGACACGTCTGAAGTCCGCAGCTTCTTGGGTATGCTGACCTACATAAGTCCATTCATCAAGAATTTCTCGCATAAAACTAAACTGCTACGTGATCTCCTAGCAGAAAACACGAAGTTTGTGTGGACTTTGCAACACCAGGAATCGTTTGAAAAACTCAAGGACGAAGTCGAACGCGATCTAATTAAAAGAGGATATTTCAAAGAAAATGATCGAACTGTTCTCTATACGGATGCTTCACCTTGGGGTCTAGGAGCAATCTTGGTGCAAGAGGGGATACAAACTGAAGAGCGTCGAATCATTGCTTGTGCCCCCAAGAGCCTGACAGAAGCAGAGTGTCGATACCCACAGCTTCATCGAGAGGCGTTAGCAATCGTTTGGGCAATGGAGAAGTTCTCTTACTATCTATTAGGTCGACGTTTCACCCTACGGTCTGACAGCGAGGCACTCATGTTCATGACAAAGAACAAAAACCGTAAAGACGTCGGTAAGAGAATCTTGTCGAGAGCTGAGGGCTGGATGTTGTAACAAGTGTAAGCGTTGCGTCCAAGATTGGTGAGATTAATCGCGTGTAGTTTTCGTATATTTAGTTATTAAATTCTAAGAAAATGTTTAAATGTTCGTAAAAGGTAATACGTCCCAGAATCCTCACGAACGCAGCCAGTAGGAGACACTTCCCTATAAACTGTAGAACAATGCCACTAGCCACCACCAGAGCACGCTGTGTGTAGTCATGAATGGACGTCCATAGGGGTGGCGTAATCGGGCCATTGCGTGGAGAATTCGTGGCACGTACGACGGTTCAACGGTCACGGTTCGGGGTCATCGTCCACCAAGAGGCACAGTCAGAAGCCTGGTGATCATTATAGACTACGGTCACATAGCGTTTGATAGCGTTAATAGTTTGAAGGTGAAAACTAAGTGCTAAAGTGAGCTAAGTTGGAAGTTGTAGTTGAAGAAGTTGTAGAGGAAGCTGCCACATACCATTGGACAGCCAGGTAATTACCATCGCCAAGAAAACCCCGAACCAATCCAACCGTTGTCAGGTCGATAACCGCCATTTCGAATTCTCCTTCGCGCCCACAGGACCTCGCGGTTTTATCGTAACGCCAGTGAATTCAACGAATTTTCCGGAGACGACCACGCCAATCGCCGATAGTGTGTCCGAATCGCAGTTCCAGAATCTGATCCCTCAGCTACAGTGTGCGCAACCAATCCAGGCAAGTCAACTTACCCTTGTGGTTCGTTGAAACCTCGAGTCCGTCACCATACTCGAGGGGCGTACGGGACAGGTAGAGGCGTCCACCCCTGGCCCAAGAAGGTGATGCGGTACCAGAGGAAGGAAATGAACGACGACGACGGCAGTGGCAGGTGAAGTGGCCCCGAAGACAAAAGAAGAGTAGTGCTAGCACAAGGTAGGAGTGGGAAGTGGGAGACCGTCCGTGAAGTGAGTGTCGTCAAAACGAATAAAGTGGGAGTTTATCTTAAGTGAACTTTGAGTGTTTTCTTAATTCGCGGAATAATCACGAGCGTGTGCCGACCCTGAGGCTTGGAGACGGGGGTCTCATCAGTGCTGGGAGTAACACCGCACTGGCACGTTACAATGTTAAGGATGGATCATTTCGCTTATGATTTCGATCACGTTGCTGGCAAAAACAATATTGCTGACGCTGCATCGAGAATCGGTGTTAAGCGAGAATATCCACAGTTTGGTACTGAAAAAGAGCCACACGAATTATTTTCTGTCTTCGCCAGCCCAAGTGTTATCAACGACCAGTTGTTGGCTTTAACAAACACAGAAGTGAAAACTGAATTACTCAAGGATCACGAGCTTAAGGCAGTCATTGAATGGCTTGGAAAAAAGGAAAAATGGCCCGCACATATTGCAAAATATCAGGCATTCCAGGGAATGCAAGGAGAGCTATTGATGAAGCGTGAGAAAATGGTTTTACCGGCATCATTGCGGAACCGAGCCCTGCTTTTGGCCCATCGTAGTCACCCGGGTATGTCAACCATGAAAAATTTCCTGAGGCAAGGTTTATGGTGGCCAGGCATTGATCGAGACACAGAAGAGTTTGTTAGAAGTTGTCCAGAATGTCAGCTCGTTACTGTCACTTCAAATCCTGTTCCCATCGTGATGACCGAACTTCCTCAAAACCCATGGGATTATGTATCGATGGATTTCTCCTCGGCATCGGATGTGCATAACTGGAAGGCACTAGTTTTGATTGATAATTATTCCCGATTTCTTGTTGCTTTGCCAATGGATAAAACGGATACGGAAACTGTGAAGAGAGCACTCAGAAGAGTTTTCAACTCGTATTATATCCCGAAAACATTGAAAGCCGACAATGGGCCTCCCTTTAACAGTGTAGACTTAAAATCTTGGCTTAAGAATGTCTGGGGAGTTAAGTTGATTAACAGTACCCC